TAATTTTCTGGAACAGTTTCTTTCCCCTCTGGGAGAGAGTAGCAGCCAAAATGGAAAATATCTCCTGCACAGGTTACATGCAAAGGTTGCCAGTGCAAACCGAAACAGCGGGAGCTCTAGTTAGCTCTAAATACTTGTAGCTGTCCAGACGGAGTGGATCCAGAAAGTAAATTGGATATCTTTATTTCTGTTCCAGGCAGATCTGTATAATCTGTCTTCAAGAAGCAGATGCCCTCGTTTACTTTATCTGATCCGTGATCATTAACATGGAGCGGGGAGGCCTTAGATGAGCAGTAGAGTGTCTGAGTTGTACACAGATGGCTCCAGGTCCAGTCCCCAGCACCTGCTGCTAAGGCTGAGAACAAATGCCCATCTGACACCCTGGAGACCCACTTCCTGGACAATCCTGAGCTAGATGGTCTGATTCAGTAGATGTCCACATCCTGGGTGTTAATATAGGTTATTATATTAATATATAAAAGTTGTGGGTTCTAGCACAGTCCAGTTGCTTCCATATTCACCCTCGTTTACATGGTTCCACCTGTTCAAAGTGTAGCCATCAACATGTAAAAAAAGGAGGGAATGCATCACTGAACAAGAGGATGGAAGCTTGCCTAAAAGTTATTCTCTTTTATGGGTACGTGCAAATTTAATAAGGAGGACTTTGATGAGGGGACCTGTGTGTGCCTGCTTAGTTTGCTGTCCTGGTGCTGCTCCCTGTTGATAGGTGACTTCAAGGTCCCTCCAACTTTAAACTGGACTTGGACAACAATTCATGTGGTGGACACCTCCAAGCGGAGGACGGTCCTCGTAAAGTGGTTGTCTTTCTTTTCTAGCAGATGATAAGTCTAGGAGGTGCAGGGACTTGTCAATAGTGGCTCCAAAGTTTAAGAGTTACTTACTTGACGATGTAGAAATATCTTGTTCCTGCAAAGGTTTATGTGATTGTGATGTGGTCTCTTCATTGGGACTTTGCGGGAACAGAATCCCAGGCTAGATACTCCTTTGGTCTGGGAGGAAGCTAAGTACAGAAAGAACCATGGCTCAGTGGTGTCAGGGCACCTCTCTTACATGCAGATGACCTCCAGTTCAATGCCTTGTCTCTCCAGTTAAAAGGATCAGGTTATAGGGGATGACTGGAAGACCTCTGTCTGTGACCCTGGAGAGTTTTTGTCAATCAGAGTAGACAATACTGAGCGATATGGACAAACGGCCTTACCTGGTATGAGGCAGCACCTTCCAGTGTTGGTGCAACTGCAATGGTGCTCCAGTTGCTTAGATGCTGCTGTGAGTAGTTTTAAGCCTCTCTTTGGCCTCTGGCCTTGCTAAGCTAAACTGTTACTGATGAAGTCAGAGGCAATGAGACAAGCCTGGGCAATTATTTACCCATGCTTCCTTCCCATCTCACCTCTTCACCTCTGATGAATAGTCCTTGAGGGCTTCCCTAACAAAGGGAGCAGAATGCGGAACGTCCTGTACATGGGAACTTCAGGTCAGGAGGAGGGATGTGCCAGCTGCCGCTCCCCAAGCAAGCAAGCCCAGCCATCAGTGGAGCCAGTGTGGTGTAGTGGTTAGGGAGTCAGACTTGGACCTGGGAGACCAGGGTTCAAATCCCCACTGAGCCATGAAGCTCTCTGACCATGAGCCAGTCAGTGCCTCTCAGCCTAACCTACTTCACAGGGTTCTTGTGAAGATAAAGTAGGGGAGGGAGAGAACCGTGTAAATCAGTGGTGAGCCAGAAGTGCCAGTGGGAATGGACACATCTGTCTATTTCGGTTTCTGTCAGCTTCTCATTTTTCCAGCCTTAAGTTCTGTTTGCCACATTTCTGCATCAGTTTGCTATTTTTTTCAGTTCTCGTGAAAATTCACCAGCGTTTTAGTGCACATTTCCCCTAATATACACATTTTAGAATGCAATTTCCCTAAAGTTCATTTCTGCAAGCAATTTTCACGTAATACAATGCATGTTTGTATGTTATTTTTATGAATGTGTGCATTCTTACGCACACCTTCCTCTAATATGTGTGGTTTGTACACATTTTGCGGGTGGAGAAGAGCAGCGCAAAATTCAGAGAAGTACAAATTTCAGAGGGTAGTTGCATTTCAGTTCGTGTATCGTCTTGGGAAGTCTGATTAGGTGAGTCCGCATTTAAAATCTGAAATGAGCCAAGTATCTGTGAATGACACTGTTATCTCTTCCCAATCAAGCTCTCCCTGTTTAAATCCAGGCCCATTAAAAAGTAGGCATGGAGCCTCTCCCAAGCCAGAGCTAGAGTGGCCACCTACGTATCACCCAAAAATGCATCGCCAAAAGGAAAACAGGACGAAAGAAGACAGAGATTTGCATAAAATTTGCACACCCTAATTGAAGTTTATAGTTGCAAACTGAGAACTACTGAGTGGTAACCAACTAAGCCCTTCTCAGAGTAAACCCCTTAAAATTAATAGACCCGTGTTAGTCATGCCCATTAATTTCAGTGGGTCTACCCTGAGTAGGAATAACACGGGATACAACCTGTAAGTTAAATAGAAATGCAACTCAGCTTACCATAGTGGGGAAGATGGTGGCCTACAGTATGTGTCTGCTCACTCTGTTGTCCAGGTTGTACTCCCTGTAGATGGGCGATGTGTTGCTTTATCCTTCTTCTTGGACACGTGTTAGTGGCTGCAACATACCTTAATGGTTTGAGATCAGGGTCAACTCTAGGGGACCCTGTTTTGCGTCCTCTCCTTTGTTAAGCCATTACACTCTGACCCATAACTTTTGCTTTATCAAATTTAGGAGCTGGTGGAGCTGCCCTTCTAATGCCTTGCAATGCATTGGTCTGAAGCATTTTGGGAAAGGAAAATGGCGGCCTCAATCAGTTTCCCACAATGCCCCAGAGGAGTCACGTGGGGAATTTAAATGGTGGCTCCAGCATGCCCCGGTTCTCAGTGGAGTCCCTGAAAAGGGTGACCCAGGGCGGGCATCACCAGGAGCAGAGTGTTGGCAAGCCCTGGCCACAACCTGAAGATTCTGGTTGCTGCTGCCAACTCAGGATTGAATCCCCTTGTGCACCAATTGGAGCCTGACATTTAAGAGAATTTATTGCCATGTTCTTTCTGATTTGCCCCATGGGTTTTACGGAGGTGTTTTTATATATATACAGGCAGGTGGGTGGATGCACTATGAAAATATGTTTATTGTTATTGTCCAGTCAAATCTTGCTCTGTAATTAGGATGGAGCAAAGGCTCTTGGGAAGGGATACGGGGAACACTGCTCTTAGCCAGCGTGAAGCTATTTGAGCTCCCGGAGTCTCCCCCCATGTGCTTCAGAGCTGTTTGATCTTCAAGGGGTTCCCCATCCCCCGGCCCTCCCCACTTTCTTCTGTTACAAAGAGAAACAGCGAGGTCTGCAAAGCACTCCAGGATGCCGGGTGGAGGGGGGGCAGTGAGTTAGCCGAGAGGAAATTTCATGCAAATGATAAGCAGGCCCAGCAGTTAAATCTTGGGCTGACACATTAATGAATTTCACAGCACGCCTGGAAAAACTCTCACCCTGGCCAGGATTTGTTCAGGGAAGGGAGGAATAAGGGCAGGGGCCGCAAGGGCAGCGGACGGCGGCGGGGTATAGCCAGGGGGAACCTTGTTCCCATTATCTTTTTGTGATTATGTTGAACAGGAGCTGGCAGTATGTTTTCCCTTTAAAAGAAGAAGAAGAAGAAAGTTTGCACACAAGAATCCTGTCCACCCCCCTCCCAACTTTGGTTTCTGTGGTTAATGGGGAGAGGGACCAGGGGTGCAGAAGGAGGGAGAAGGAGCAAAATGAGTTTAGCAGCTTTTTCTGTTGCTGCTGCTACCGCTGACTCTCTCCCCGCACTGCACCCCCCCCCCCAATTTCATAACCTGGTCGCAGCTGGTACAATTCGTGCTCCTTAATAGCTCTGGCAGTGAGTAGCAGAGAGAATGTCCCTGCTGCCCCCCGGCCCAGTTCAAGGTGGGTGGTCTTCTCACGGGCATGGGCAGGGGCATTGGATGGAACAGGTATTGCATGGGGGTGGGGGAGATGAGTGGAGTGACCATTTTCTCCCTATTTTATTTTTTGGGATGGGGAGAGGGATGAGTCAAGATAGAGGTGTATAGAATGAAGGCCGGTGCAGAGGAAGTGTATAAAAGAGGAGCATTTCCGCTTCTAAAAGTTGTTTCCGATGTTGATCCTACTCAGAGTAGACCCATTGAAATCAATGGATATAACTAACTTGGGCCCATGAATTTCAGTGGATGTCATCTGATTAGAACTTAGTTAGGTACAACCCTGAGTGTTTTCTATCAGTGAATTTTTGGTGGCCTGGGATGGGTTAGAATAAGCATAGTTTTAATCAATGTAATAAATTTATGGTTTTTTTTCTTTTTAAATTAAAGACTCGGTTCAGATGCCCCATCCCAACAATGCATTAGGACATTAGGCACTTGTGTCTTGGAGTTCTGCACTCCTTTCTTCCCTTCCTCTCACACTCTGTAGTTCCCTCCCTCACTTTCTGGTTGGTGATGACCATAGTTTACTGTGATGTCAAAATAGAGCAAACCATGGTTACTACAAATGGTAGATTGATTTATTATTATGTGTATATCCAACTTTTCCTTCAATGAGCTTAATGTGGCATACGTTGCTCTCTTCCCCATTTTATCTTCACAACAACCCTGTGAGTTAGGTTAGGCTGCGAGAATATGACTGGCTCAAAGTCGCCCGGTGAGCTTCATGACTATGGGGATTTGAACCCTGGTCTCCCAGGTCCTGATCCAGCACCCGAACCACCACACCACACTGCCTTATTGGGAACCATGGCCTTCATTGGGATGCTAAGATTGGGCTGGAGGCAAATGGTGGTCCACAGAAGCCATAATTTGCTCAGTTGGGACATAACAGCAAATTGAGGAGCTGAGTTGTATGACAGAGAAGAGGAGAGTGAGTGGGTCTTTCAGATCTTCCTTTGACCTGTCCCATCTCTTCTTTGCACAGCCTGCAACTGCAATCTCCATGCTCGCCGCTGCCGTTTCAACATGGAGCTCTACAAACTCTCGGGACGGAAGAGTGGGGGGGTCTGCCTGAATTGTCGCCACAACACTGCTGGGCGACACTGCCATTACTGCAAAGAGGGCTTCTACAGAGACATGAGCAAATCCATCACTGACAGAAAAGCCTGCAAAGGTAAGAAACAAGAACATCTCCCAACCTTCCTTGTGAGAAAGGATGCAGTTAAGTCCCTTAGGAGTTTGCCAGTTTACTTAGTTATGGCTGGCAACCATTAGGACTGGTACGGCTGAAGTCAGGGAGCCTAGACAGGACATGTGGTGCCAGGGCTGACAGGCCGAGTCAGCTCACCTAGTTTTGTCCTCTGCCTCCCTGCTGAGTTCTGCAAAGACCACACTGAGGCTCAGGAGGAGGCAGCTGGCTGACTGGTCCATTCCTGGGCCAGATGTAAGAAGGCAGGTATGCGAGGGCTGGCTGGGATCAGACTGAGGTTGGTGGGGAATTGGCCCTAATGGGAAATAAAAATGTACTGTTGTTAATGATAGTTGTGAAGGTCAAATTACATTGAGAAACACACCCCAAAGAGTGACCCCAGTGCCTCAACCAAACCTGATAATCGCTGCTTTACAATCCAGTTTAATTAATTTCAGAATGGACGTTTGAGTTCCTAGCCAAAGGTGAAGGAGACGCACTTCCTAGTTTGGTGCTTCTCTCAGGCAAGAAACCATGGCTCTGTCAGCACTGAATAATTCCTTCCCCCGTCATGGTTTATTTATACTAATCTGGAGTCTGGGTTTAAATGAGAAGCAGGCTTCTTCCATGCATCATCAGCTTTTAACCCACAGTATAGCTTATCCCTGGGTTAATGTGTATCCACCGCAATTAGCATTTCTTTTCTTCATTCAGGCTTCTCAGCATCCTCTTTCAAAATATATATCTTTCTGGAACGCTTGTTAGAACAGCTGAAAGGTGCATCCAGAACCATGGTAGCTGTCTTCCTTTGATGTTTATTTTATTTACTTATTTATGCCATGTACCTTTACCTTTTTACAGTGGTACCTCGGGTTAAGTACTTAATTCATTCTGGAGGTCCGTTCTTAACCTGAAACTGTTCTTAACCTGAAGCACCACTTTAGCTAATGGGGCCTCCTGCTGCCACCGCGCTGCCAGAGCCCAATTTCCGTTCTTATTCTGAAGCAAAGTTCTTAACCTGAAGCACTATTTCTGGGTTAGCGGAGTGTGTAACCTGAAACATATGTAACCTGAAGTGTATGTAACCTGAGGTACCCCTGTATACCTCATCTTTTCCTCCAAGGAACTTAAGGTGGTGTACATGGTTCCCTTCCTCCTCAATTAATGCCCACAACAGCCCTGTGAGGTGGGCTGGGCTGAGAGGCAGTGGCAGACCGTGGTCACTCAGTGAGATTCATGACTGAGTGGGGATTTCAACCCTGGTGTCCCAGGTTCTAGTTTCTCACTCTAACCACTACACTACACTGGCTCTCAAGGATGGTTTTGCACTCAGGGACCTTCTGGACTTGCAGGTGTATTCTGCAACATGCAGTTGGCACAATACTAGTGCATTGGTGGTGAGTTTATACTAGGCTGTCCACAGAATATTATTATTATTATTATTATTATTATTATTATTATTATTATTATTAGCTTCCCTTCATCTGAAGTTATCGTATTATTGCAATGTGATAAAGAGGAGTACTCTTTTCTGTTGCCCTAAATGCATTGAGATGTGATTGAACATGCTTATTGGACTCTCATTCAGGCTTTAAACCTGGTTTTGGAACAGAAATTGCCGCAGTCACCCCCTGCTGAAAGAGAGATTGGGGACTGCAGCCCCATTGCTCCTCTTGGGCATCCCAGTGGCCTTTCGAAACAATCAGCCATGCCCTCCTTGTGCCTAGCATGGGAGGTGGGTGTCCTGCATTGCGCTAGCTTCTGTCTGTACTCGGATGGATGACTCCAGAAGGTGATGCTGGGGAATGTTTCTCTGTCCCTTGCAATTTACACTACAGTAGTACCTTGGTTTATGAACTTAGTCCGTTCCGGAAGTCCATTCTTATACCAAAACCATTCTTAAACTGAGGCACACTTTCCCTAATGAGGCCTCCCGCCGCCGGTGCCCTTCCACCGTTCGTATTTCATTCTTAGACCGAGGTAAAGTTCTCAAACCAAGACACTATTTCTGGTTTTGCGGAGTTTGTAAACCAAATCGTTCTTAAACCGGACTGTTCTTAAACTGAGGTACCAATAGTGTTTTGGCTCCCACACTATTGAATATCTACATGAAACCACTGGGAGAGGTTCTTCAGAGGTGTAGCCTGAGGTGTCACCAATACACAGATGACAGCCAGATCTACATCTCCCTTTCATCTCACTCAGGTGAGGCCCTTGGCACAGTAAAGGACTGGATGAGGGCCAATAAAGTGAGACTCAGTCCAAGCAAGACAGGTATTATTAGTGGATGGTTCATCTGCCCAGTTAGGTGATGTTCAGCTTGCTCTGAAAGGAGCTTGCATTCTCCCAAAACCAGCAGGCTCACGGTTTGGAATCTTCTATCATGATTGGTTTGAGGCTCAGGTGGCCTTGGTGGCTCAGATGATGTTTTATCAGGCTCAGCCGATAGGTAGATCTACGAACTACAACCTCGCCATGCAACAGTTATGCAGGATCTAGCAAGCACTTGGTAGTATTATTGCTTGGGTTATGCATGAGGTTCCTTTGAAAATGGACTTGAAAAATACAGTGGAGGCTGGCCCATTGGAATGAATGAGGCACTGCCCCACTGGCCTCATTCTGGCCTTTGCCAGCCCCCACTTGCCTGCTTTCTTTCTCAACCAGGGGGTGGCGCAGGCTGTCTCAACCTCCTTTTCCTTAGTCTCAGTTTTGGCCTTCTAGAATTCAGTAGGAAGGAGGAGGATGGGGTCAACACTAGAATTATTTGACTCTGCCACTCTGCCTCTCATTGGCTCTGACTCCACCTACTGTTGGTCTCCCTGCCTAGTTCCCTACCAGTCCCACTGGGCATCAGTGTGGTGAAGGCGGGGACTTTCTGGTGCTGGCTCCCTATTTGTGGAATGCCATCCACAGAGATGCTGGCCTGGTGCCCACTCTATGGACTTTTAGGGGTGAAGCAAAGATCTTTGTATACTTCCAGGCCTTCTAATTTACAACAGGGATTTGGCATTTTAAAACACTCCCACCAATTTATTTTCCCCTTGCTGTTATTATTCTGCTTTTAAATTGATTGTACGCTGTTGTGGTTGCACTGACTTTTATGCGTCAATTTGCACTGTTTATAGCTTTTTCAATTGTTTTCGGCTTTTTATTTTATATTGTTTTGTATTTTTAATGACTTTATAAACTGCCAGAGGATTGTGTTAATGGGTGGTATAGCAATATAATTAAATAATATTTAATAAACTGAAAAGCTAATATTACGTCCTCTTTAAAAATATCAAACATTTCCCAGCACCAATAAGAAGGGGAACTGAAATATTTAATTTAGGTGTGGGATGAGGTGGGGTGAGGGAGGAAATTCAGTAAAGCTCTCTATTGGTGCAATCCTGTGGATATTTACTCTTTCAGTGAGACTTGCTCCTTATGAAATATGTTAGGATTCCAGCTATATAGTGAAATGCTGTGCATGCCTATTAAAACAAGTTCAAAACTTTACACAGAAATATTTTTTTTATTAAAATACCTGCAATACCATATCAATAGCCTGCACTCCGTTAGCATTATTCAAACTTAGACAACATAAAAGCACTGAAGATGGTTAACCTCCTCACCCCCCTTGCCAATAATTACAATTTTGATTCAGAGATTTGACTAGCATTGCACCCATCCCAGATGACCAACTTGACTTGTCTTGTGTTTGTTCATTATGTTACTAATTAATTCTGTGAGCGTCACATTTCTAAAAATAGGGGGAAAAATTCCATGGAAAAAGAGTGCAATGGTTCTGACAACAATTTTCCAACCCACACCACTGCTGTCAGAGTCGGGCCATGTGCAGCTGGACCAGGAAGCAGACTTGGGGCGCGTGTTCTCCAACCCAAAAGTCCTTATATGAGCCAAGAGTGTTTCCGGCGAGAAAGTTTCCTCTCTTCACTGTCACAATGAGGTGGCTGAGATTCCACAGCTTATTAGTGGAGGTTCCATGTCTCTCTTTCAGTGTTTATGTTTACTATGAATGGCCAAAGTGGTGCCCAACATCTGGAGGGCCACAGGTTAGTCACCCATAAGCTCTGCTCTGCATATGAAGAAGCTCTCTCGCATTGCTGGAAGGACTCTGACTAGCATCAGACCTCCAGCGGGTGGGAAAGAAGCCTTACTTCTCCCCTTGCCCCCAGAAACGCTTCCTCCCTGAAGCTGCTATTTGCGTCCAAAAGGACACTTCCATTAATGCCAGTTAATGCCCCAGAGGGAGTGGCCAGTTTTCATCAGGATGATGGCTGCAAGGTATGTGTATTAATTTGTCCCTCCTCAACCTGTTGCAGTCCACAAAAAGTTCTGTATGAATAAAGCATTTTAAAAAATAAATAAATGGGGGGAACAGCAGCGAAGCAAGTGGACAGTTAGAGGTTGGTTTTTTTGCTCTCAGCATACATAGGGAAGGAGCGACGATGGCTGATGCTCACGTTTTCCGTTTGCATTTTCAACCTCGCACTCTACATTTTCTCTCGTCTCCCAAGTCAAAACGTGAATTTTCAACATTCAAAGCACGGCTGTATGCAAAAGAGCATTTCAGTCATAGGCTGTTGTTTTTAAATGCTCTTAGTGTATAAGCATTGACCCTTAGTCGGATTTTGTAGGATTGGGGTGGGTGGTGCGGCGGCGTTATTTTTGCAGTAACCGAATATATTTTAGTTTATGGATGTTTTGCACCTGGAAGAAATTCTCTGGCAGGTCATAACAGTCTGTAGCTGAGGCGCACCCTGGGCCAAAAGGAGCCGCACACTTTCTCTTTGAAGAAGTGCTTTGCGCTGGCTGCAGTGGAAACCCCTTTCCCTCTCTGCCTGATTGCATTACCTAGAAAAATCCCGACCTGCCCTCGGGGTTTAGATGGAACGTGGATGATGCAGCAAGGAGAAACTTCACAGTTTTAACAAGCGCCTCATAAAGCTGAAGGCAGGGCTGGCAGACGGTGTGTAGCAGGG